TGTGTACATATATATATATATATATATATATATATATATACCTGTGTTTGTTTGTGTGTGTAGGTGTCCCTGTGTGTCTGTATGCGTGGGTGTGTATTACTAAAGAATTAATGGATTAATTTTATAATCCGGCACTTTTATGATTTCAATTATTTCAAATACAATTTCTGTTACGAAGTATCCACTATAAGACTTGAAGTTATAAAAATATGTTTGCATACATATATATATGTATATAATCTGTATGTTTGTGCGAATACTAAGATACTTAGATAGTGTTGTGGATTCCGAGATGAAATTCGGTCTCCAATGAATGACAAACGCAAGAATTAAATATAAGAAATAAAATGTATTTACACAATAATACAAAGAGTAATACTGTTAGTAAATCCAGGAACGGGGTTAGTAGCAATAACATATAGATATATACAGTCTCGAAGTAGGACTTCCTTAGAGTCTTCTCTCACTCTCAATCTCTCTATTCTGACTGACTCTCGGTATTTAACGGCAGCAGTCCAAGTAACACTGGTTGAGTCCACTTATATGAAAAAGGGGTGGACCCCTTAACACCCCCCTCCTTAGATCGCTTTTTGGGGGGAGTTAGTATTTTTGTCTCTTATGGCTAATAATCAGGGGTTCGACAAATTTTCTTTTCCTGTTTGACCTTCTCACTTCTGTGTCTTCCTGCGGTCTTTGGATCGCAAACGCTTCGAAGATTGTATCCATAGAATCGTCGTTTTCTGCGATTGACGAGCTTGGCTCCTCAACCCCTCTTTTCTGTAACTGGTCGATATGTCTTCTATGTGAAAACTTCTCGCCTTTTATGGTGTACATTAGATTCCCTAATCTTTTGATTACTGTGCCCGGCTCCCAGTAAGCCATATTGTTTCTAAACATTTTAAAATAAACCCGTTCTCCAGGTTTGAATGATCTCTTTGGTACAATCGGCGTATATTGGTTTTTATTCTTGTTTGGCAATAATTTGTCAAACACCGGCCTTATTCTCCGTGCGAACATCAATTCCGCTGGGAAAAGACCGATGGCGTGTTCACGTTAGGTGTTATTCTGTACACCTGGAGGAATTTTTGTATCGCTTTTATCGTCGGTACATCCTCGGCTTTTTTTAATGCTCTTTTTAGTGTGTCGACGAATCTTTCAGCTTACGGAGCAATCTTGATATGTTTTATTTGGTATGTCCCACAAAATTCTTTAAAGTCACTGGAGGTAAACTGTGTGCCATTATCACTTACCAAGCAATCCGCGACACCAAATCTCGCGAATAGTTCGTGTAACCAATTTCTACAAGCGGTTACCTCACACTATTACTCTACCTCCAACTCAATCACAGCCACAGTCTACTCTCACTCTCTCTATTCTGACCGACTCTGGGTATTTAACGGCAGCAGTCCAAGTAACACTCTGGTCGAGTCCACTTATATGAAAAAGGGGTGGACCCCATAACAGATAGAGATAGATAGATAGATAGATAGATAGATAGATAGATCTGAATAGACATAGATAGATAGATAGATAGATAGATAGATAGATAGATAGATAGATATGGACATAGGAATGAAGACTGTATGCTAAGTGCTATTTTCACGCCGCAATGCGATCTTCAGTCGCAAATATGATAAATATGAATAAAATCTAACATATAGATAGGTAGATCGTGATGAATAAGATTGAATAAACTCGAATCGATAGATAGATAGATAGATAGATAGATAGATAGATAGATAGATTAGTGAACATATAGAACAATATTGTAAATAGGCATAATCGATTTAATCTTAATACAAAATTAATACAGAATATTGATCATACGGATACAAGTCATGGCTTTTAATTAGTTCTGCCTATATATAACACAGGACTTCACTAATTCATCACATCGTTCAAGCGTGATATTGTTCTATTCTTCCCACTGTTCCTGCCACTAATCGTATCGTTAACTTAACATTATCGGTGATCATCTTCCAACGATTCTCAGCCGAACTGAACCGCGAATTTTGAGCGGGCTACGTCTTCAGTTTCAATTTATAATTTTTAAAAGCAATATGGCCGATTTTGCCATATGGCCGTTTCGGCAGTATTTTTGCATAGGTCTAGACCCAGGATCCGGAGATTCTCTCAAAGAATGAACCAGATATAGTGCAATATTATTCTTATGCATTGCACCATTTACATTGTCATGTAACTTAAGGAACAAGCCAAAATCTGATTTATTTTTACGGCTTATCAACTCAGGTTATTTAAATCCGATGCATGTTTTTTATTGTATGAATAATTTTGCTTTACAAGTGAATATTGCATTAACAATTTTTGGCGAATAACAAATATCTTTCTCTGTTCGCGGGAGGAGCTGAATCGGCGCGAGGCGAACCATATTCTCGTTAATACGTTACTGAACTTATCAAATCTTTCACACATTTGATTTAAAATTTGCTATATTTATCGGGGAAGATCGCTTAATATCGAATATAGAGCATTTGTAGATGTGGACATATGAAATATTCAAACTTGAAAGCCAGTCTTTCTAGAGTTTCTGGATAAAAGCACTGGCTGATTGTAAACCTTAAGCCACATCCGAATTATAGGTGAAATGTCAATTATCCATGACAGAAATAACGGCGTCACCTAAACCGGAACTTAGGGTAAAGTCTCGTTAATGTCTCGCTGCACATCAGGGTGAGCTTGACCTTCGAAAAACAAGGATACAGACATAGGGTGTAAGGAGAATTGAGTGAAAGGGGGTTGTTTGGAACAACAGAACAGCGATTATATGCGATCAAGGCAGACCATTAAAGTAAATGTATGCTTTACAGAAAAGCCATTGGGAAAAACGTAGATAAATATAGTCATTTTTTGTTATTTTTTTACAGTAAGCTTTACCCTGAAAAAGGCCCAAGAGCCACTTTAGGTAGATGGTTATGTTAAAAGTTATTTTATACGGATAGGAGAGGATATAACGGTTATGGTGATCGGCGAAACCTCCTCTTGGCAGTCCGTTTCATAGAGCAGTGATTCGTGGGACGAAGCTGTTCCAGTGGATCTTACGTCTCACCAATGGAATACAGGTGGGATTTGCGTGGTTTTCTACAATATAAGCCGTGAAGGTGAGACATGGCAGAACTAAGGAATGTAGTTCGTACGAGCACTTAGAATGGAAGTAGCTGTAAGGCAGCGAGAGGCTGACCACACCCGCCTGTCAGAGCGAGATTGGAGGGTGGAAAATAATTTATAAACCACAACACCGAAGTCAGGACTTAGAACCTCCCGCCAATTTCAATTTTCGACCTGATCTGGGTCCTGTAAACGTAGACGAGAGCATAAAGAGTCAGGTACTTAATGGAAAGGTACAGGGAGCCGGCCATTTCTCCTGCATCTTTGGCGATGAATCATATGTAAGAATTCCATTTGAGGTCAGGGGTGATTTTAAAGCCCAATAATATCTTAAGGCATGGAGCCTTCTTGAGGGGACATCCTTTCATCGTAACTGGCGGTAGTTCGGGGTCCGATCGACGATGATGGAATGTAACTAGTTTGCTTTACGAGACATTAGGCAGTATGGAACTTGGACAGGGGAGAAGAATATAAAAAAACATGAAGATATCAATGAACACAAAGGAATTAAAAAGCTGAAGAATGACAATACATACTAAGAAAATGAATCTAATAATTCAGTCTATGAATGCCGATGAGATAACAAAGATTATTTGTTTTTTACGGCTTATCAACCTTTCGCAGGTTATTTAAAGCCAGAAAATAAATTTTTATATCGTAGAAATCTTTTTGTAGATAATAATAATTTACTGATGTAAGTCCTACTAATTAAACCATAGATGAGGGCGAGAGAGAATTGAACTCATAACTTTCCCGATGTTATTTGCTAAGTGACTATAACGAACCCGATTGAAATTGGAACTCGGCCCTCTGACTTCAAATTCCGAGCAGCTATCCATTACATCACCCGACTCTACAAGCTTAGAGCACCTGGTTCATTAGTTGTGTGATTCGTTTTCTATGACTTATTGTTATGGGAACTTACCCATAATAATAATAATGGACTCTTCCTGACATTATAAATACTGCGCCTCTCAAGAGGTATGAGGAGATTGTAAGACGAGGAGAGATAATTGAGAGCATATTGTAAGGACATTGGAATAGTGATACTTGTCGAGACAACATAGTTCACTCTAACCAAATCTGATAGTCATTACTAATACTTCTACTTTTGTATTATATTTCTCTTGTAATATATCTTTGTATTCCATACCTGTGTTCGTGTTATTCTTTCATTGGTTCTAATTTTGGACCATCACCGTGGTACAATTTGGACCATAACAAGTGGCGACGAGGATGAAATAATTGAGAGCATATTGTAGGGACATTGTAATAGTGATACTTGTCGAGACAACATAGTTCACTCTAACCAAATTTGACAGTCATGACTAATACTTCTACTTCTTTGTATTATATTTCTCTTGTAATATATCTTTGTATTCCATACCTGTGTTCGTGTTATTCTTTCATTGGTTCTAACCTTGGGTCATCACCGTGGTACAAGGAACTTGGACCATAACATCAATCTTTTGAAGGTTATTTTAAAGCAGAAAATATTTTTAATTTGTAAGAATTTTCTGTGTTTTTTCCTTTTTTAGACAATAATGATTTAGTGATAAAATTCTTTATAATTAACCCATAGCAGCGGATGAAGAGATGGATTTATACTTTCCCAAGTGTATTTGCGTGTAGTGATTTTCCAAGCGTAGCTCAGATGTGGCACAAGGCCGAAAGTATGGGCACCCAGTGAGGATCGAACTCACTATTCAGTCGTAATTGTTCTAGCGAGACAAGCTTGCTAAACATTACACCCCCTTGGGGTGCCCAAGGATATTTGCGTGTAAGTGAATATAACGAACCCAACGGGAATTGGAACTCAACTCTCCGACTAACAACTCCGAGCCGTCATCCATTACATCAGCCGAACATTCAAGCTTACAGCATCTGGTATTCCCAAACGGTCACCCACTTAGGTCCTGACCAGGCTTGACATTTCTTAACTTCGGTAATCGTACGGGAACCGGTGTTTCAACGTAATATGGCCGTAAAACCTAGAGCACCTGGTATCCCCATGTGGTCACCCATGTAGGTACTGAACAGGTTTGACATTTCTTAACTTCGCTGATCGTACGAGAACCGGTGTTTCAACGTAATATGGCCGTAAACCTTAGAATACCTGGTATTCCCAAGCGTTCAGCTACCTAGGTCCTGACCAGGCTTGACATTTCTTAACTTCGCTGATCGTACGGGAACCGGTATTTCAATGTAATATGGCCGTAAACCTTAGAGTACCTGGTATTCCCAAGCGGTCACCCACCTAGGTCCTGACCAGGTTTGAAATTGCTTAAATTCAGTGATCGTACGGGAACCAATGTTTCAACATAATGTGGCAATAAACCAAAACTGAATTGATTTCAAAGTGATGTGGCCGTAAGACCGGACAAAGAGGAAAGGGTTTTGATAGGATGTGAAGACTGTATTAGGAGTGAAGTATTAGTTTACGGTAGTATTTGAAGAACAATGGTGAATCATTCCTGATAGCTGACATAATAGAAACAGCGGGTTGCATTGGGAAAAGTGATTTCGAAAAGAAAACATCGAGATATCAGAACAAGAGTTTGCAAGAAGTACTGTATTCAACAATTTTTCATGGGCATTGATAAGGAGAATAATGGAGCAAATTGATAAAATAGAAACATGGGCATGGCTGAAGAATGGAGACTTGGAGAAAGGAACGGGATTTTTTATAAGTGCTGTATAAGAGAAAACCCCAAGGAGTAATTGTATCCAATATGAAAACTGTGAATTCAGTGCTGTGCAGAATGTGTAGAAAAGCAGAGAAGACTGTAAGTAAATGAATGTGGCATGTCGGCCTAAGGATAGTGTGAAGGAAGATCCGACAATATAACACATATAGTGTGACACTAAGTTTGGAACATGATTGATTTATTTGTTTAACGCAATGGTTCCCAAACGGTTATGCACGCCTCATAGGTGCTGCGAAAGAGGATAGCAGGTGAGGCGGAAGAGGACAGCAGGTGAGGCGTTAGAGAATAGCGGGTGCGGCGAAAGAGGATAGCAGATGAAGCGGGAGAGAATAGCAGGTGAGGCGGAAGAGTATAGCAGGTGAGACGGAAGAGTATAGCAGGTGCGGCGGAAGAGGATAGCAGGTGAGACGGAAGAGTATAGCAGGTGAGGCGGAAGAGGATAGGAGGTGAGGCGTTAGAGAATAGCGGGTGCGACGAAAGAGGATAGCAGGTGAAGTGGAAGAGAATAGCAGGTGAGGCGGAAGAGGATAGCAGGTGAGGCGTTAGAGAATAGCAGGTGAGGCGGAAGAGGATAGCAGGTGTGGCGGAAGAGTATAGCAGTTGAGGCGGAAGAGGATAGCAGGTGAGACGGAAGAGAATAGCAGGTGAGACGGAAAAGTATAGCAGGTGAGGCGGAAGAGTATAGCAGGTGAGGCGGAAGAGTATAGCAGGTGAGGCGTTAGAGAATAGCGGGTGCGACGAAAGAGGATAGTAGGTGAAGTGGAAGAGAATAGCAGGTGAGGCGGAAGAGGATAGCAGGTGTGGCGGAAGAGGATAGCAGGTGCGGCGAAAGAGAATAGCAGGTGAGGTGGAAGAGAATAGCAGGTGAGGCGGAAGAGGACAGCAGGTGAGGCGGAAGAGGATAGCAGGTGAGGCGGAAGAGAATAGCAGGTGTGGCGGAAGAGAATAGCAGGTGAGGCGTTAGAGAATAGCAGTTGAGGCGGAAGAGGGTAGGGTGAGGCGAAAGAGGATAGCAGGTGCGGCGAAAGAGAATAGCAGGTGAGGCGGAAGAGGATAGCAGGTGTGGCGGAAGAGAATAGCAGGTGAGGCAGAAGAGGACAGCAGGTGAGGCGGAACAGAATAGCAGGTGAGGCAGAAGAGGACAGCAGGTGAGACGGAAGAGGACAGCAGGTGAGGCGGAAGAGGATAGCAGGTGAGGCCTTAGGGAATAGCGGGTGTGGCGAAAGAGAATAGCAGTTGAGGCGGAAGAGGATAGCAGGTGAGACGGAAGAGAATAGCAGGTGAGACGGAAGAGTATAGCAGGTGAGACGGAAGAGTATAGCAGGTGAGGCGGAAGAGTATAGCAGGTGAGGCGGAAGAGTATAGCAGGTGAGGCGTTAGAGAATAGCGGGTGCGACGAAAGAGGATAGCAGGTGAAGCGGAAGAGAATAGCAGGTGTGGCGGAAGAGAATAGCAGGTGAGGCAGAAGAGGATAGCAGGTGTGGCGGAAGAGAATAGCAGGTGAGGCAGAAGAGGACAGCAGTTGAGGCGGAAGAGAATAGCAGGTGAGACGAAAGAGGATAGCAGATGAGACGAAAGAGAATAGCAGGTTAGGCGGAAGAGGATAGCAGGTGAGGCCTTAGGGAATAGCGGGGGTGGCGAAAGAGAATAGCAGTTGAGTAGGAAGAGGATAGCAGGTGAGACGGAAGAGAATAGCAGGTGAGACGGAAGAGTATAGCAGGTGAGACGGAAGAGTATAGCAGGTGAGGCGGAAGAGTATAGCAGGTGAGGCGTTAGAGAATAGCGGGTGCGACGAAAGAGGATAGCAGGTGAAGTAGAAGAGAATAGCAGGTAAGGCGGAAGAGGATAGCAGGTGAGGCGGAAGAGGACAGCAGGTGAGGCGGAAGAGAATAGCAGGTGTGGCGGAAGAGAATAGCAGGTGAGGCGTTAGAGAATAGCAGGGGAGGCGGAAGAGGATATTAGGTGAGGCGGAAGAGGATAGCAGGTGCGGCGAAAGAGAATAGCAGGTGAGGCGGAAGAGGATAGCAGGGGAGGCGGAAGAGGATAGCAGGTGAGGCGAAAGAGAATAGCAGGTGAGGCGTTAGAGAATAGCGGGTGCGACGAAAGAGGATAGCAGGTGAAGGGAAGAGAATAGCAGGTGGGCGGAAGAGAATAGCAGGTGAGGCAGAAGAGGATAGCAGGTGAGGCGGAAGAGAATAGCAGGTGAGGCAGAAGAGGACAGCAGGTGAGACGGAAGAGGACAGCAGGTGAGGCGGAAGAGGATAGCAGGTGAGGCCTTAGGGAATAGCGGGTGTGGCGAAAGAGAATAGCAGTTGAGGCGGAAGAGGATAGCAGGTGAGGCGGAAGAGGATAGCAGGTGAGACGGAAGAGTATAGCAGGTGAGGGCGGAAGAGTATAGCAGGTGAGGCGGAAGAGTATAGCAGGTGAGGCGTTAGAGAATAGCGGGTGCGACGAAAGAGGGTAGCAGGTGAAGGAAGAGAATAGCAGGTGGCGGAAGAGAATAGCAGGTGAGGCAGAAGAGGATAGCAGGTGGCGGAAGAGAATAGTAGGTGAGGCAGAGGACAGCAGGTGAGGCGGAAGAGAATAGCAGGTGAGACGAAAGAGGATAGCAGATGAGGCGGAAGAGGATAGCAGGTGAGACGGAAGAGAATAGCAGGTGAGACGGAAGAGTATAGCAGGTGAGGCGGAAGAGCATAGCAGGGTGAGGGAAGAAGATAGCAGGTGAGGCCTTAGGGAATAGCGGGTGGGCGAAAGAGAATTGCAGTTGAGGCGGAAGAGGATAGCAGGTGAGACGGAAGAGAATAGCAGGTGAGACGGAAGAGTATAGCAGGTGAGGCGGAAGAGTATAGCAGGTGAGGCGGAAGAGTATAGCAGGTGAGGCGTTAGAGAATAGCGGGTGCGACGAAAGAGGATAGCAGGTGAAGCGGAAGAGAATAGCAGGTGTGGCGGAAGAGAATAGCAGGTGAGGCAGAAGAGGATAGCAGGTGTGGCGGAAGAGAATAGCAGGTGAGGCAGAAGAGGACAGCAGGTGAGGCGGAAGAGAATAGCAGGTGAGACGAAAGAGGATAGCAGATGAGACGAAAGAGAATAGCAGGTTAGGCGGAAGAGGATAGCAGGTGAGGCCTTAGGGAATAGCGGGTGTGGCGAAAGAGAATAGCAGTTGAGGCGGAAGAGGATAGCAGGTGAGACGGAAGAGAATAGCAGGTGAGACGGAAGAGTATAGCAGGTGAGGCGGAAGAGTATAGCAGGTGAGGCGGAAGAGTATAGCAGGTGAGGCGTTAGAGAATAGCCAGGTGCGACGAAAGAGGATAGCAGGTGAAGTGGAAGAGAATAGCAGGTGAGGCGGAAGAGGATAGCAGGTGAGGCGGAAGAGGATAGCAGGTGCGGCGAAAGAGAATAGCAGGTGAGGCGAAAGAGAATAGCAGGTGAGGCGGTAGAGGACAGCAGGTGAGGCGGAAGAGGATAGCAGGTGAGGCGGAAGAGAATAGCAGGTGTGGCGGAAGAGAATAGCAGGTGAAGCGGAAGAGAATAGCAGGTGAGGCGGAAGAGAATAGCTGGTGAGACGAAAGAGGATAGCAGATGAGACGAAAGAGAATAGCAGGTTAGGCGGAAGAGGATAGCAGGTGAGGCCTTAGGGAATAGCGGGTGTGGCGAAAGAGAATAGCAGTTGAGGCGGAAGAGGATAGCAGGTGAGGCGGAAGAGGATAGCAGGTGAGACGGAAGATTATAGCAGGTGCGGCGGAAGAGGATAGCAGGTGAGGCAGAAGTGAAGAGCAGGTGAGACGGACGAGAATAGCAAGTGAGGCGGAAGAAGATAGCAGGTGAGGCGGAAGAGGATAGCAGGTGAGGCGGAATGATTGAAAGACAATCGAAGATTTAGAAACAGTTTCAAAAAATTCATATGGTAAATATAAATATGATTTCAAAATTTAAAATATTATTATGGATTACGTTTAATTGCATGCCTGAATCCCAATATAAATATTTATAAACAATTATTGGCCGATTTTATCATTGTGATATTTTTGCATTATATCAAGCATTAAGAATATAGTAACTAGTGTCTGCAAATTGGAGGAGAGAGTTATCAATGATAATGTTTTGATTTTGAATCTGTGGTTATCTCCCTTTAACCCTATCTCCG